GGCTCCCAGCACAGCCCAGGGGCAGAATCCCCTCCAGAAACTGTTGTTTGCTTTCAGCTTTGCTCTGGAACATTCCCCAGGAGCCCCTGCAGCGGCTGCAGCCCGGCCGGGTGCCCGGGGCCACCAAAGCCGCTCCGGCAGTGCCCTCCTGCCCCGGGCAGGGCACAGAACAGCCAAGGAAAGGCTCGTGCTGGGCTCAGGGCAGGGACAGGGCACTCCCCTGGCGCTGCCACGGCACAGCAGAGCCGGCCTGGGCACAGGATTGGCATCCATGTCCCATGGAATCCCAGCAGGGATTACGTCTCATTGCACTGGTCATCAATCCAAATAATTTCCCCATGGAATTCCCATGGCAATGCCTTGGGGGGAGATCCATCCATGGAATTCTCACCTGACTGAGACTAAGATCCGGCCATGGTAGTTCCATGGCAATTTCTGCCTTCCCAAGACTCCCATTCCTGAATCCCACACTCCCACAGGAACTCCCCTCCTCCTCCCACACCCACCTTTGTGCTCCAGAGCCTCCCGACCATGTCTGATGGATTTTGGGAGCTCTTCCACACAGCTGTGTCCCAGGTAATGCTTCATCTGCTCCACCATTCCTTGTGCCTCACCAACCAATCAGCGTTCGGCTCCTCTCAGCAACCCCCGCCTCCCTTACCTGGAACCAACCAATCACCGCGCAGCTCCACCACTCCAGCAACTTCCAGCTGGAAGGAGATGAAATCCCACCGCTCGCAGCCGTACCCGTGGGATCCATGGACATTCCGTGGGACAGGAGGTCACAGCTGGAAACCACCTGCAGCGTGGGGAGACCTGGGAACGAGGAGAGAACGGACGGGTTGGCAGCCCAGCCGCTCTCCTGTACCCCGGGCACAGGGGAGTGTCCCCCGCAGTCGACCGTGCCGGGCTGGTCGGGCAGTGACCGAGCGGGCACTGAGAGGACGCGGCGACAGGGCCGGGCTCCGACAGCGCCGCTTCCAGGTACTGCAGGGAGTGCAGAACTGGGGGGACCCCGAGATCTGGGGGAGCTGGGGGCTGAAAGTGAGAGTTGGGGGATCCAGGGGGGTCAACAGGCCAAGGAAAGGGGGACTTGAAGGGCTGGCAGAGCTGGGCAGGAGGTTCAGGGGCTCAGAGTCAAGGTGCGGAACCGTGAGGGGAAAGGGGCCGGTTCAGGCTAAGAGGGACCATGCTGGGGACAACTGGGATCATACTGGGAGCAACTGGGACCACACTGAAGGTGACTGGGGTCATACCGGGATCATATTGGAAGTGACCAGGAGCAGGCTGAGAACTGCTGGGACCATGCTGGGGCAACTGGGATAAACAGGGAGTAACTGGAATCATGCTGGAGGTGACTGGGAGTTGCTGTGAGCAACTGGAATCATGGCGGAAGCTACTGGGAGCAACTGGGTGTGTGTGGAAGCACACTGGGGACAACTGGGATACACTGGGAGAGGCCAGGAGTGACTGGGATCACAGAGCAACCATAAAGGAAGCCACTGGAATAATACTGGGACTATCTGGGAGTGACTGGGATCGTACTGGGAGTAACTGGAACCATACTGGGTGACTGGGACCTTAGTGGGGGCAAAGGGCATTGTACTGAGAGTACTGGGAGTGACTGAGATGATACTGGGGGTGACTGGAACCATACTGGGAGAGGCTGGGCTCAGAGTCAAGGAAAGGGGGTGCAGGGACTGGGAGAGCTGGGATGGGGTGTCCAGGGAATCCTGTGCCCAGGAAAGGGGGTATCAGGAGCCCTCAGTGTGAAAAAAGGAGGGGCTGGGGGCTGGGAACTGCAGGAATGGGGGCCCAGGGGTCCCAGGTCAGGGAAAAGGGTGGGGATGGGGGCTGGGAGAGGTGGGGGCCAGGAAAAGATTGAGTTGGTGCCGGATGAGGGGGTGCAGGGGGGTCTCAGTGCGGGGCAGAGGGGTAAAAGGGGGTCTCGGGTCTGAGGAATGGGGGTGCAGGGGGGGCTCAGGGTCATGGAAATGGGGGGGGCAGGGACTGGGAGAGGTAGAAGGGAGTTCCAGGGGGCCTTGAGCCCAGGAAAGGGGAGTCCAGGGTTTCCCAAAAGAGGAGGGTAACAGGATGCGGACACCCAGGGTGTTGGGGAGGGCAAGTTCAGGGGGTCTCTGGTTTTGCAGAAAGGTGGGGCTGGGGGCTGGGAAAGGCAAGAATGGGGGTCCAAGGTGTTCCAGGTTGTCCCAGGGTCAGGCACACGAGAAGACTGGAGAGATGTGGGGAGGGGGAGCTCAGCCCAAATATGCCTGGGGATGCCTGGGTTTGGGGTTTTTTGGGGGGATGTTTGGAGCTGGCAGGGCTCCAAAGCTGAGCCGCAGATGGCCCTCGGGGGGACATCGGGGGTCCCTGGGAGGTGTTTTTGGGGGGTCCCGGTGTGGGTGGTGGCAGAGCCCCGGTGGGGGGCGGGGGGATGCGGGTCCCCCCGGGATGGGGGTTGGGCTTCCCAGCCGGGCTCTCTGAGCTCTGCCGGGGCCATGTGGGGACAGCGCGGGAGCGGCGGCACCGGCGGGGGGACACCAGTTTTGGGGAGCCCTGGGAGAGCCGCGGCTTCCCTGAGCCGGAGCCCAGAGAGAGGAGAGCCCCAGAAGGGCAAGGCGGGGACCCCGAGAGGGGGGAACCCCTGGGATTGCCAGAACCCCGGCAGTGGGGGTGCTGGGGCTGGAGGGGCGGGATGGCCGGGAAAGGGGTTCGGGGCTGCCGGTGCCAGCAGTGGATGCTCCCAGTATGAGCCCAGTCACTCCCAGTCATTCCCTGTGATGATGTCATTTGTCATTTGTCCCCAGCATGATCCCAGTTGCTCCCAGTTCCTCCCGCTTCCATCCAGTGTGTTCCCAGTTCTCCCAGTTGCTTCTAGCATTGCCCAAGTCACTCACAGTATGATCCCAGTCTCTCCCAGCAGGGCCCCAGTCACTCCCACTTGCTCCCAGCATATTCCAAGTTCCCCCAGCACATTCCCAGTTGTCCCAGTCTGGTCCCAGTCTCCATCTGTATGGTCTCAGACACTCCCAGTATAGCCCAGTTGCCCTGAACATTCTGGCAGTCATTGCCAGGCACCCCCAGTTAGCTCAGTGTGGTTCATTTGTCCTCAGTTTTACCCCAGTTGCTCCCAGTTCCTCTTAATTATGTCCCCAGTTGGCTCCCAGAATGGCCTGGTAGCTCCCAGTAACCCCCAGTCACTGGTAGCTTCCAGTCACACCCACTATAATCCCAGTATGATTGTAGCCACTCCCAGTCTGATGCCAGTGCCTCCAGTGTGATCCCAGTTGCTCCCTGTCAATGCCAGCATGACCCCAGTAGCCTCCAGTATGATCCCAGTGACTCCCTGTCTTTCCCAGTTTGTCCCAGTTCTTCCACCTTGTTCCCAGTCATTCCCACTTCTTCCCAGTTGATTTCAGCACAATTCCAGTTGCTCACAGCCAATCCTATTCAATCCCAGCATGATGCCAGTCACCTTCAGACTGAACCCAGTTACTCCCAGCATGGGCCCAGCTGTTCCCAGTGTGCTTCCGTGGCTTCACTATGGTAACAGACACTCCCAGTATGGTCCCAGTTGGACCCTGTTGCCCCTGCTCTAGTCCCAGTCATTCCCCAGATGATCCCAGTCCCTCCCAGCATGGTCCTACTCACTCCCAGTTGCCCCAAGGGTGGTCCCCCATTCTCCCCAGAATGGTACCAGTTGTTCCCAGTGTGGTTCCAGTCTCCCCAGGATGGTCACAGACACTCCCAGTATATCCCAGTTGCCCCCAGCATGTCTGTAGTCATTTCCAGGCACTGCCAGTGGCCCCAGTAAGGTGTTAGTTATCCCAGTGTGATTCCCCAGTCATGCCCAGAATATCCCAGTTGCCTCCAGCATCCATCCAGTCCTTCCCAGTTCCACCAGTTTGCTTGCAGCATGATGCCAGTTCTTCTCAGGTGCTCCCAGTAGCCCAAAGTGTGATCCCAGTCACTCCCTTTCAACACCAATATGATCCCAGTAAGCTCCAGTTTGATCCCAGTCACATGCCAGCGCTGCCAGTGTGGTCCCAGTAGAATCCCAATTGCTTCCAATCTCTCCCAGTATGGTCCCAGCTGCCTCCAGCATGGTTCCAGTTGCTTCCTGGATCAACCCAGTCAGTCCCAGTATGATGCCATTAGGCCCAGTAAGGGGGATGATGTGCAGGGTGTGTTCCCAGTCACTCTCAGATACTCCCAGTATTAGTCCAGTCCCTCCCAGTGTGATCCAAAGGTGAGCCCAGTGTGCTCCCAGTCCCTGCCAGTATGAACCAGTTGTGCTCCACGTGGTTCCAGTTGCTCTCTTTCACCCTCCCTTTTGTTCCAGTCACTCCCAGTATCTCCCAGTGTATCCCACTTCCCTCCAGCATGTTGCCAGTCACTCCCAGTTCCTTCCAGTATGATCCCATTTGCTCCCAAGCACTCCCAGTCAGCCCCAGTGTAGTGGCACTCACTGCCAGGATGATCCCAGTTGATCCCAGTATAAGCCCAGATGTTTCCAATCACCCCCAGCATGCAGCCAGCCACTCCCAGTTCCTCCCAGTTGCTCCCAGCATGATCCCAGTCGCTCACAACTGCTCCCAGTCACCGTCAGCATAATCCCAGTCACTCCCAGTATATCCCATTTGCCCCTATAATGGACTCAATTGCCCCCCACAGGCTCCACCTCACTCCCAGTATGATCCCAGTATGATGTCAGAACAAACCCAGTACAGACCCAGTCACTCCCAGTATGTTCCCAGTCCAGCCCAGTCCCTGGCAGTGCTGCCAGTGCTGGGATCCCGCAGCGCTCTGTGCGTTCCCCGCTCCCGGCTGTGCCCAGAGGAGCCCCAAGGGCTGGCAGTGGCCAGGCAGGGTCCCCAGCAAGGCCCAGTTTGGATGTTGGGCCCCCAGTTGTCCCAGTTTGCCTCTCCTTTTGCCCGGGCCGGGTTCCCCCCGCCCGCCCGCAGCGGCTGGGAGCAGCCGAGAGCCCCGCGCTGCCCATGCCGAGCTGTCCCGGCTCCATCCCCGCTCCTGCCGCGGGCTGCGAGGGCTCCGGGAACGGGGCAGCCAGGGTGTCGCTGCTGCTGGGGGAGGAGGAGGAGGGAAGAGGAGGGATGAAGGAGGAGGACAAGGAGGTGGAATTAGAGAGGAGGAGGCGCGGAATGAGGGATGAAGGCGGAGAGAGAGCAGCGATGGAGGAGGGAGAAGGAGGTGTGGTTAGGGAGGAGGAGGAGGAGAAGGGAAGGAAAGGGAGGGAAGGAACAGAAGAAGAGGGAGATGTAAGAGGAGGAAGGGAGGAAGAGGAAGAGGAGGGACAAAGGCGGGTCAAGGTGAGCTGAAGGAAGCACGCAGTCGAGCCCTCCCTGCATTCGCAGCCCCCACCTGTGGGATCATCGCCCCCCATCGCGCAGGTGAGCGGGGAGGGGGAGCTCGGCCCAGATATCCCAGGGGGTCCCTGGGTTGGGGTTTTTTTGGGGAGGATGTTTGGAGAATGAAGAAGCGCAAGGCTGAGCGGAAAAGGCCCCTTGGGGGGACATCGGGGGGTGGCGGTGGCGGCTGCCGGCAGAGGCAGCCTGGAGGAGCAGAGCCCTGTGTCCCGCAGGAGCCCAAAGTGGGGAGCCCAGAGAGGGGGGAGCGCCGCCATTGGCGGGAGCCTCAAGAGCCTGGAGAGGGGCAGGGGGGACTGCTTGGAGCCCCTGCAGCCCAGAGCAGAGAATGAGGGGAGAAGGGAGCCCAAAAGGGAGCCCAAAAAGCCCCGGCATCCCTGAATGGGCAGAGGGAAGAGGGGGCAGCTTTTGGGATTGCCCAGTCCCTCCCAGCATGGTCCCA